GCAGCCCACGGCGGGGGGGACACATCCCACAGTATGTCTGCAGGACATCCCACAGCCTGTTGGGGACGTCCCAGGGCTGGCAGCGGGGACATCTCACAGCAAGTCGGGGGGAACATCCCAGGGCTGGCCGGGAGACATCCCACAGCATGTTGCAGACATCCCAAAGAGGGTCTGGGGGAACATTCCAAGGCTGGAGGAGGACATCCTACAGCATTTTGGGGATGCGTTCCGGGGGCATTCCACAGCAAGTGTGATGGGACAACCCAAGGCTGGCTACGAGACATCCCGCAGCAGGTCGGGGGGAACATTCTAGGGCTGCAGGGAAATGTCCCACAGCATTTTGGGGACATCTCAGGGCTGGCCTGGGGACATCCCACAGCAGGTCTGGAGGTTCATTCCAGGGCTGACTGGGGGACATTCTGTGGCAGATATGGGGGATGTCCCACATCAGGTCTGGAGCTGACATCCCACAGCAGGTCTAGGGGTTCATCCCAGGGCTTGCTGGAGACATCCCACAGCAGGTTGTGTGCTGCACACAGCAAGTCTGGAGGGGATTCTGCCGCAGGGTGGGGGATTCCAAAGCCTGCAGGGGGATGCCAAAGCCTGCTACCCACAGCCACTGGAGCCAGCCTGGACTGGTGCTCACATCCCCTCTGCTTGTGCGTCTCAAGCTCCCTAGCCTGCAGCAGCCCCAGATGCAGACCCGATGCTGCCCTTGCTCCTCTCTGTGAACAGAAACCAGCTGCAGCCCCAAAATGACCTTTACTGAGCCCTGGCAGAGCTGGGTATGGCTGTGGAGGGACACACAGGCTGCACCTTGCTTTGTCTGGGGCAGAGCTTCATCAAAACAAATGTACCCCACAGTCCTGGTAAGAATTGAATCAATCCCAGATCCTGCTGGAAGCCCAGAGCCCCTCTGAGCTCCTGTTCTCCTGTGTTTCTCCCTCTCATGCCATAGGCAGCCCCTGCCTGTGCCTGAGCCCTCCTGACTCCCACAACACTCAGGGGCATGGGAGGAAAACAGCTCTCTCCT